GCCTAAAGCCTTCGACCATCGATGTGACTCGTCTCACATCAATGTTTTGGGGTTGTGAACTTGTCTAAGACCCCCCATAATTAGACATCCAAATTCAAAACTCACATAGTTGGGATTGAACATATGTACAATTTAAAAACTAATCTTTCAAAAAAGAAGTTTGCTTCTGAAGTGAGCAAGAGGAAAGTGCTGGGGCAGGGGGCAGTGTCTCAAAGCCCCAACTAGCAAATCAAATACTCCTGCTTTCTGCCTCAAACTCCCTCCCACAAGACTCTGGATGGAATGCCAACAGTGAGGTTTCTTTGTAAATAATGAGTCAGAACCAAGCAGTAAACAGTAGTAGCCAACTGTCACTGTGTGTTACCGATTCTGACTCAGGAAACAAGGCTTAAAGTTGAAGATTGTTGACACAGTCTTGAAGTTCTCTACAAAAGTTAAGTTGAAGAGGCTCTCAAACACATCTACCAAAATAGAGGCCACTATGTGACCACCCAACTCTGGTCCCCTCTCCTTACTGGGCACACCTCCCAGCCTCCCTTGGAGTTGAACATGGCTGGGTGGCTAATGGAAGAGCTGATATCATTCCAGGCCTGGCCAGGAAAAACTCTCAAGTTTCCTTTCTTTGTGTCCTCAACAAAAATCACAACAGAATGTTCATGGCAGCCACCTGCTAAAGACTAGAAGCTCAAAGGCAGCCTAGAAACTTGACGAGTCACATGTATTGTAGTATCCCCCTGCCATGAAGGAGTGCCTTGGCTCAAGTGTTCTAAGACAGAGAAATCAACCTGTGTTAAAGTATTCACATAATGAGTATACTTAGTGTGCTCAGCCCACTGAACCGTTATTCTAGCCATTTAGTTATGGAGTGTAGGGGAATTCTCCCCTAATTAATTGATTGTCTAATAAAGATGACAAGAAGCCAACCGTTGGGCAAAAAGGAGGAGGTGGGCCTTCCGGGTTCAGGAGAGGAAGAGAGGATTCGGGAAGAAGAAATAGCCCTTTTTTACTGTGAGGCGAGGAGCGAGAGGAAGCAAGATGTAGATCAGAAACTTTTAGACCTGGTTGGCAGCTTCCTTCCACTACTGGAAGATTTCCAACATAAAATAGTTGATGAGTTTAGGAGGATAGATCCTGTGTCCAGCAGTTGTGTCATCTGTTGATTTTAAACTAAGATTGTCTGGTGTTTTCCCTTCGTGGTGACTCAGGTGGGCCGGAGGGAAAGAACATAGCTGGGGCAGAATTCTTCCAGGCTTTGGAATGGGAAGATTGGGCAAGGACCTAGCTCCAATGGAGAGGTAACTGCAGCAGAGCACAGGCTGGCGAGAGCGCACCTGCAGCTGGCCACAGGGACTGAGAAAGCTGTCTCAGAGCTCTGGAGAGGCAGAGCTGATGTTTGTGGGAGAGGCATTGGCCAGGAGAAACACTCAGTCTCAGTCTCAGGCTATGCACTGGGCAAGGAAGAGAGACCACCGATGCCAGTGCATAGCCAGATTCAGCATGGATTGTTTTTTAAAGCTACACGCTACATCTTAAAATATGGATGATGTTCTTTTTTCCACCTCCCTGCCAAACTTTCTAGGCATGACAGACCTTAATTCCTAACCACTGGGAGGGATATAAATAGCCTTGGAAAACAGGGAAAGAGCCCTAAGAATGGGAAGTCTGAGCTTTCTGTTCCATTCTCCACTAAGAAGCTGGAGTGAAAATGACCCTGGACCATTGGAGGGCCCACTGACAATGGAGAGAGTCTACCCCAGGAACTTGGGAACTTCCAGGGAGTCCATCATATGCTGAGATGACATTCCACCCCACGTCCACTAGATGCTAGGGACCAGGAACTCACAATGAACAGATGTCTTGTCCCTACCACCTACATGGCTGGCAGCAGAGTCTGAAACTCAGAGAAGTCAGTCCTGGGTCTTTTGTACAAAGCCTCCTCCATGAAGTGAAAACGATTTGTGACCTGTGCACATGGAACCTTCAAGGATCCAGCCCTTCCACAGACCTGTACTCTCAGAGAGAAAATATCCTATCTTCATGAAGGGACTCTGAGTTTTATGTTTCTCACAGACTCCCCTGTGTTCACTGAGAAGATGGGTAAAGGACAAATGGCTTCTTCTGTTGAAATCACAAGCGAGCAAACAAAATGTGTTTTCAATGTAACACTCCTTCTGAGAAATTGTCAAGAATAAAATGGTCTTGGGCTGGGGATGGAGCTGTTAATAGATTGCTCGCCTAGTATGCATGAGGCTCTGGATTCTATCCCCAGCACCACGTAAGACCAGACATTCCTGTAATCCCAGGACTTGGGAGATAGAGGCAGGAATATTATAATTTCAAGGTCATTCTTGACTACATAGTGGGTAGTCTTGTCTGCAAGAGACCTGCCAAAGAACAAAACAAGAGTAACAGGCCCTTCTAGAATTGATTCCTTTCACAAGTTTGGAATCTGGGCTCTGGATTAGGATTTTGTGATTTGCATATGCAAAACCTCTAAAACCCCAAATGCTGTATTTATTTGTAATTTTGGGACAGGTGTGTGTGGGGGGAGGGTTTGCACATTTAGCCAAGCATTCCACCACTCAGATATATCTCCAGCCCTCGTTGCATCTTTTGCTGTCTAAGCTGCCTCTCTACTTGCTGGAGCTTGAAGACCTCCCTGACCTTCTAGGGCAGTTGAGTTTCTTATCTTGTTTCTTGGTCATGGTGCTTTGTAACTCCCTTGGAACCATGAGTCCCTGTTTATGACCACAATGATCACAATTTCCAGTATAGTCTCTGAGCTCAATGGTATTAAGGCTTTTTCTTCAGCCCTAAAAGCTCTTGAGAATTATAATTCAGAGCTACACAGAACCAAAATTTTCTGATATTTAAAGAGCTAAGGGGAGCAACAGATCAGAACATTTTCTGTCAGCATAAGCCTAGGAAATTCCAGCACATGACTCTCAAAGCTATGGATATAGCATGTGAGAATCAAGAGCATGAGGAAATCTGATGGTTGTTTTTTTTTCTCTATTCAACACAGCTAGTGTTACTTGGGAAGAAGAAACTACAATTGAGAAAACGTGGGAGGGTTCAGCCCAATATAGGCAGTGCCATCCCCAGGTAGGTGGTACTGGGTTGTATAACAAAGCAAGCTGAGCAAGCCATGGAGAGAAAGCCGGTAAGCAGTGCTCCTCCATAGCCTCTGCTTCCAGGTTTTTGCCTTGAATCCCGGCTCTGACTTTTCCTTCAGTAGTAGCCAATTGTCACTGTGTGTTACTGCTTCTGACTTGTGGACTATAAGGTGAAATAAACTCTTTCTTCTGCAAGTTGCTTTGGTCACGGTATTTCTCACAGCAATAGAAAGCAAACTAGGACAGGGAGGTAGGTCTTTTCTGTTTTTCCAAATACAGCTAGATCACACAGGGCTTAGTAAGACCCCTGAGTTCTGCCTGGGAACAACAGAAAAGAGAAAACATGGCAGACATTTTTTAAAGTTATCTGAGAATGTCAGTTATAGAAGTTTGATGCCTTCCCTTTGGGAGCTGAAAGTGGAAATTACCTTTCCTGGAACTCATAGAACTTACTAACATGCACCGTTTTCACTTAGGTTCTGTCCTCTCCTCTAACTCAATCTCAGATCTCTAAAATTCAAGGTGTCCTCATTTCAGGAGTCGGAAATTCCTCTATATTAGTGGGTTTTCCAAATGTGGTTTCCAGGCCAACAAGACTGCCATGGTTTGATGAATTTGAGTGTGAAATGTTCCTATTTTATATGCTTATTCCACAGCTGGTGGCAATATTGTGGGAAGATATGGAACCTAAAGAATCCATAGCTTACAGCTAATCGTTCACCAGCAGTGGGCCTTTAAAGATTCCAACAGCCCCTGGTCCCTACTTCACTCCTGACCCACTGTAAGGCCTCTGCTACATGCTCCTCTTTTTTGCCACGGAGATAGAAATTCTCTGGTGCTACAAGCCCAAATAAATCTTTCCTTTTGTTTTTGTTTGTTTGTTTGTTTTGAGCAGGGTCTCTCTATGTAGCCCTGGCTGTCCTGGAACTTGCTCTGTAGACCAGGCTGATCTAGAACCTAGAGATTGGCCTGCTTCTGCCTCTGGAGTCCTGGGATTAAAGGTGTACACCACCACCTGGCTCTGACCACAATATTTAGATACCCAAAACCAACTAATTTGAATATTACTTTTGAATTTTTAGAAATACAGATTCTCTGGTCGCACCACACACTAGAGTGAGATTCTAGAGGTGAAGCCCAACAGTTTGGGGTTCTAAAAGGCGATTCTGATGCATGTCTCAGCAGAAGAGTTCCCTGTAGTCATTACATACACCTTCAAGCAGCTGAGAAACCAGCAAGGGTGGCCTTCAAGGTCAAGATCTATGAGTTAGGATATAATATAAGCCAAGAATCTATTATCTGTAAATAGCAAAAAGTCCAATTCAAGCTAGTAAAAGGAGAGTTTTCTCTGAATGAAATGAAGAGTCATCTAGATTCAGACATTGCTAAATATAGTTGGAACTCTCTTTTATATTTGTGAATGCATATGTACATGCAAATTTGTGTGTATGTGTGGGAACTGTGTTAATCTCAAAGATGGGAGGACAAAGACTACTATTAATTAAAGCGACCATTTTTTATAATGTTTACAAGGCCTGCCTCTCCTTAAGGCAGGGTTTGAGATTGGATGTGAGGAAGTCAAAGCTTTCATAGCTCAGGGGTGGGGAATTTCCAAATGGGGCATTTGATGGGCAAAATCGATGAAGTTATAGGAGCAGCATAAACAAGTCAGTCCTAAGGATCTCTGGAGACAAAGACATTGTTGCGAGGTGGAAACAGCAAGGGAGTCATAGTCAGAACAAGGTAGTCATAGAATCTTTTGAAACACGGGTAGGACTGCAAGATGGGTCTAATAACTCTTTGAAACAAAGACATGACTGCTATTCCTGGAACAGGCAGTACTGAACCATTTGTAGTTAAGGTTACAGGTGAGGCATAGCCCAGTCCTTGAGAAGCAGAGGTTTAATCATAAACAGGAATGGACCTCCTTTGTCTTTATGGTAAGATGGCTTTTAAGCCTAAGATGGAGGCAGGCTGGATCTTCATCCCTTGATTGTCTTCTGTGTCCCTGTGAAATCTTTGGTAGGGTCTTAGCATTCTTTATCTGGGTAAAAACAAAATTTGGAATGTATCAAATGAAATCATAAATTATAAGGTTTGGTTAGCATAGGTAGAGCAAATATTTTAAGGCCATATAATTTTGGTATACCAATACATTCTATGAGCAGCTCTTTTGTCTCCTTTGCTAGGGAGTTAGTTCCTTTAGATCTAATATTCCAACCCTTTGTTGAGAACAAGAGATGTATTCTCCTCTAAACCTACCTCCTGCAAAAATGAGGATGCCATCAGAGCCCAGGAAGGCTGGAATAGCACCCAAAGGCAGGAGGGGATTAGGGCAGTCCGGTATTCATCAGAAGCATCTGATTTGCTGACCCAGCTGAAGAGACAGGAAGCATCGAATTGACTAGATTGGTTTACATCAGCTTTCAGCAAGTCCAGGACTTTCTGGTTTTGTTTGTTGGGTTGTCATGGTGTAGATCATCTTTGGAGTAGTTTGTAGTCTCTAGATTGGGATCTGACAGAACCAGAAACCGGATGTCACAGAAAAAAAAAAAATAAAAGCTTGTAAGACTTACCAGAGGAAGACTCCATAAAATAAGTAAATACGTTTTTAAGGGGTTTGCTAGTTGGTTTGTTTGATTTTTTTATTTTTATTTTTTCGATGCTGTGGTTTGCTCAAGCAGTCCAATAAACTAAAGGTGTGTGTGCCTCTCCAAGGTTTTCACTCCCACTAAAGGTACAGTTCCTCAGTCCCAGAGGGCCAGAGGTAAGGATCCAGCTTCTGAATTTGGCTTTTAAGCCTAAGACAGAGGCAGACTGGATCAGCTGGACATATGGTCTTTGAGAACGTAGTCCCCATCTACTTCTTTTGATACAGGGTTTCTCACTGGCTTAGAGTTCACTGAATAGGCTAGACTGACCTACACTATCCTCAGCACTGGGGTTACAGGTCTGCATCAGCAACCCTGGCAGTTTTATTTTATGTGAATGACTGTTCTGCCTATGTATGCATCTGTACACTGAGTGTATGATCCCCTGGAACTAGAGGTAACAGACAGTTGTGAGCTGCCATGTGGGTGTGGAAATTGAAATCAGGAAAAGCAACCAGTGCTTTTAACACCTGTGCTATCTTTCTTGCCCATTAAATTTTTATTTTTTAAAGTACTGAAGGTATTCAAGCAAAACTCACAGAGCCTCTTTGGAAGCTTGTGTGAGGGATCAAGTACTTGAGTGGATACATACATACGTATGCATACACACACACACACACACGCACACACACACACACACACACACACACACACACACACACACACACACACACGAGTTTTTGTTGTTATTTTTGAGACAGGGTTTCTCTTTCCAGGTTGCCCTGAAATTCGCTAGATCAGGCCTGCCTCTGCCTCCCGAGTGCTGGGATTAAAGTCGTGCGCCACCACTCCCCTCTACATTTCCATATATATTAATATTTACGTATTTGTGGGAAAGTAGGCTTTCATACAGGCTAGTGTTAATACTGACTCTCCCAATATGAAGCTCGGAACCTAGGGCCACTTACAGACGTTTCCTTGGTTCCAAAGATGCAAAGCCTACTCACAACTATCGTCTTTACACGACAATTAGATGTGCGCAAGAGTAAAGCATCCCTAAGTGTGCTCGTCAGTGGCTCGCGGACTCATTACTGCGGCGTCTCCGAGGCGGAGAAACGCAGAGGAAAGCCGGGAGTAGCCAACAGGACGCGCCTTCCGCCGCAGCTGCATCCGGGGGGTCTGTGGCCTCCGGACTTCCGGTCCCTCCGCCCAGCCGCCCTGCTTCAGGGATGTGAGCGCCTCGCGCAAGTAGGGCGGGGCGTGCGCGCGGTGCGGTGCGCGTGCGCAGGAGCCACGAGAGGGACGAAGCCGAACCTCTGAACCGCCGCCAGGTCTGCTCCGGCTCCACGCCGCCCGTCGCGCCGCCACCCGGGTCCTTCTCCTCCTCCGCCAACGCCGCCGCCGCCGCCGCCGCCATGGGAGTGCAGGTGGAAACCATCTCTCCCGGAGACGGTGAGTAGACAGCAGCCACCCGCTCCCCGACCGCCGCTCGCAGCCACTCACCTGCAGTCTGTCTCTCCTCAGGGCGCACCTTCCCGAAGCGCGGCCAGACCTGCGTGGTGCACTACACGGGTGAGTCGGACGGGCCGGGTGGGGCTGGGCGGGAGGGGCGGTGGCTGGGAGTCGGGGCGTGGTGGCCGCGTGGCCGGCGGCCGAGGCCTGGGCGGTGGCCATGCCCCGAGGGACAGGCTGGGCCCTCCGCGCCGAGCGAGACTTCGGGTTGGCGCAGTCTCGTACACCCTGAACGGTGCTCGGCCCCGGATGCCGCAGGGAGCCTACTGTCCAACCGTAGAAACTGAGGCTGGGGCGTACTCATCGCCTGGCGGGGGTCACGCGCTCCGGGCCAGGGACCCTTCAGGAAGATTTGAACGGTTTCCGAACCCTGGTGACATGATGCCTTCCCCGTGCTTTGGGATTCTCCCTTCAGTAGTTAAGAAGGGGAGAAAGTCCTGGTTTGCCCAGCCACCCTTTTCCAGGGGAACCCTTGAATTCACCTTCCTGGGGCGGGTGGGAAACGACCCACTTGCTAAGTCATTATTGTGGCTTCACGTGCCCTTTCGGAAATAGATAATGCAATGTCTATTTCTCTTTGACCCACTTGTAAATCTCAGCCACCATGGCAGTGATTACCAGACCAAAGGATGTGTACCATGTCATTCCCCTATGCCCTTTCTGAGAGTAGAGACTTTCTCACCCCCATTTTTAAAGATAAAGGAAACTGGGGGTTGTAAATGCAGTACACAGTAACTAAATCAACAGAAATTTTAAAGACGCACACACCCAGCCAGAATACAAGCATCAAGACCGCTGGCCCTGGGACCATCTTTTACTCCATGTCCTTACAAGGTCTTCCTGGGTTGGGGAGGGGGAGGGGTAGCTTACTGTGACTTCACAGCTAGGCCGAGTGGTGTAGCCACAGCTGATATGAATCGGCTTCCCTCCCCCTCCTTCCCTTTCCCACCCTTTCCTTTGTCCCCCTCCCCATCCTTCCTCTGTTTCTTCTGCTTCTCCCCTCTCCCCTCCACTGTCACCACCCCCACCTTTTTTTCTGGCTGATCTGGCCAAGCTGTTCTGGCTCAAGTTGCCTTCTCTCCCTAATCAAGGGAGGATCCCGCTCTTGAGGGAAATGACTTACTGGGAAAACAAGACAACTCACACCCTCCTCTCTATGCCCCCTTATTTCTGTAACTTCTTGACTAGAGAAGTGGGCAGGAGATGGTAGGAATTAAGGACTAGGACCTTTAAAAAGCTGCCAGTGGAAGGAATATTGAAATATATCTTCTCATAGACCAAATCAAAGTAGCTGTTGTGGTAAGGCCACAGTCAGCACCTTAGTTGGGAGGGTTAGTAGAGGGACAACCATCGGTTTAGTCATCTTCGAAAAACAGTGCCGTTGCTTTTTTTCTTTTTTCTTTTTTTTAAATAAACACCTGCGTAAGGCAGTTTTAATAGAGTTCCTCATGTTGCGACCCCCCCAACCATAAAATTATTTTCGTTGCTGGTTCATAACTAATGTTGCTTCTGTTATGAATCATAGGCAATCCCTGTGAAAGAGTTTTGGACCCCAGGTGGAGTTGCAACCCACAGGTTGAGAATGTGGGCAAATGGACAGTTCTGTGACTTCCCACAGCCCTCTTTACCTTGGTTTGTGGCAGCCACACTACAGTGCCTGGTTACATCTATGTCTTGCCTAGCCTGTGCTTCATTGCTGCTGAAAGCCAGGTACCAGCATGTAGGCAGAAACAATTTGTTATGCTTCTTGAACTGTCCGGATAGAGTGTCTGGAGCCTTTTCCTTAAAAAAACAAAAACAAAAACAAAAGCAAATGACTATGCGACCCAGAACTCCTAATGCCTCTTCAAGTCTGTTCTCCATGCGGGCGGCACCCACCCACACGTTCCCAGAACGACAGCAGGACCCTGGCACACATAGAACAAAAGCTTTCTTTTTTATTTCATTTTGATAAACTCCACAAAGACGCCTTAGTGAGAAGCCAGCTGTGCCTCACGATCACAGAATAGGCTGTTCTGAGGGCGGGTGGCTTTGTTCCTGAGAGTCTCTGCCACCAGCCTCCCAGGAAGAACCTGTTTGAGACCTGTGGGGGCGTGAGAGAGGGGGAGATGTGCTGTAGGATCACCTCCAAAGCAGGAAGGCTTTTACGTCGCTGGGATTGTGATGAGAAGAGAGCATTGTCTTAGATTAAAGAAAGAGGGTCTTCAAACATGAGAAGCCAGTGCAGTCCCGAGAGGGGAGGAGAGAGCCCCTATCTCTTATCTCTGGTTTCCTCTCTGCTTGCCTCCGTCATTTCACTGTTCGAGATCTATGCTTCTGGCTGGTGGGTAGTGGAAGCCTTCATGCCCATGCTGTTTTTCTATTTCCTTTTGAATGTCTGGCTCAGGTTGTTTGCCTGAATGACTGAGGCTTGAGTTGGGTTAATAACCCTTGGTCATGTGAGTTTTAGTTAAGTGTCCATTTCTGCTGTTTAGACTGGGTCCAGAGAAACAGCAAAGGAAGGAAGGCCTCAGCCCCAAACCCTGCATGCCAGGGATGAACCCCAGGACCTTACAGGTACTGGGCAAATGTTTCAACTCTGAGCTCCATCTAACATTGTAATAACTGACGTTGTACCACTGTTAAGCCTTTCTCTGGTGTTTCTGTGTCATCTGCCAGAACCCAGTATGAGTGCAGGCTTGAAGAAGACCTCTGAGTGCCACTGAGAATATCTAGTGATTTCTAAGGGGTATGACAAGCCTTGACTGAAACCTGAAGGAGGAGGTGAGACAGTAAGCCATACAATAAATTCTTGAAGGCTGAGTGGATTTCCACAGCCCCCTCCCTCTCTGCTTCATGGTTGCTGTGAAGCTTATCCTAGTTTATATTCCTTCTCATGAGACCTCAGCAGCCCATGCGATTGCCACTGTGAGAGCAGTCTCAAGTGGACTGAAGGAATTTTTTTTTGTCCTAAAATACAGCTAGACATCTTGTCCTTGGGATCAGTAGCCTCTTGGTATCTGATGGAGAAGCCAAGAGCCCCTTAGCATCATCTCCAGTCTGCCTGGGGCTGTCAAAGTCCCCAGGCCAGGTCTGGCTCATTACCTTTAATTTTTCTTTAGTTTTCTTCCCTCTTCTCTGCTTTATTTTAGTCACTCCTCTACCAGTTATTTCTTAGTTGGTGACCTGATGTCTGGAGGGAAGCTCATATTTAAGAAATGCCTCAGGCGATATTTTTCTAATGTGTAATGTCTGTCACAAAACAGGCTGGAGCTGTATGGGTAGTTGAGACTGTTTTGTTGTTGTTTGGGTTTTTCCCTCCTTTGTACAGCAACATACCAGGCACAAGTGGCTAGTAAACTAACTAGAGAAAAACCTGATCTAGTAGAGTTTAACTCAAGAGGGGGACCAGTATGACAGTGTGACATGTCAGATAGTGAGAGGCATAGTGGAAAGAGGAAAGCAGAGAGGGATGGGGAAGGAGGAGTTTGCTTTTAATGGAGACAGTTGGAAAAGTCCTGATGAGTGATACCCCCTCTAGCATCAATGCACAGCAAGTTTGGTAGTGGGCTTCATGGCCATCTGGAGGAAGAGTTCTTAAGCAAGGCCTGGTAACTGGAGTGGATTGTGTGAAGGAGTGGTGGCCAGAGGGGTTAATAGAACTTGGTATTTTGCCATGAAAACACTCTTCCTCTGAGTTTGAGGAACATATCTTGAGCTGACCTGGATTTTAACCTCCCTCTGGTGGATATATATTACCTAGCTGTATCTCAAGTGTGAAGGTGTTCCAGCCTAGGCTATCAGCGTAATGCATGCTGTTAGATATGCTTCTCAAAGGATGAAAAGCATGATTCCTACCCTTGTAGATTTTTAGCTATGGTGGAAAAGGTGCTGTTGTCTATAATGTGATTATGCAAAAATGTATTGTTCATGAGTGCTAAGGAGCGAGACAAGAATAGGGCAAGATTTTAAGTGGCAATGGCCTCATGGAGAAAACGGGAGTAATATAGCTAAAGGAGTTCGGGATCAGTGTGTGGGGCCCTTTGAGTAAGAATGCTGGCAGCACAGCAGCAAGTAGGCATGTACTTGATGTGAATGCAGACTACAGTGCTCTCGGAGCAGAGATGTGGAGGAAGGGGGCAGCAAGATCAGATGGCAGCTTTGGTCACGCTGTTTCTGTGGCCCAAGCTGAGTACTGGGAGCACAGTCTAGGGCACTCTGGTGTTGTGCTTACCAGGTGCTGCCTGTGTTTTTTCCCTTTGCCAATTACTCGTGAATAAGAGCACAGTCCAGAACTGGGTGTGACTGAGGGAGTGCTTACCTGGCATGCTATGGTGGAAATAGATTTGAATCTCCCCCTAAACTCTAAAATCCTTCTCCCCTGCAAGGATTTGAGCCTGATTTCCCCCAGTGAGAAGCTGCATGGAGTAGAAGTGGGCTGTGTGAGGAGGGAGCCTTTACGTAGGGAGCTTCCTCTCGTCTTGTGCTTTACATTGGACACCCCCATTTCTTGCCATTTTTCTCACTAACTGGATACTTAAAGGTTCTGGAAAGTAAAGCCAGCCCTTCTAGGAGCATCCCTCAGCTGCTGCTTACCATATAGGGAAGAAGGTCTAAATATGGAAGCCTCCTGCTTATCCTGTCCTGTTGGTCCATAAGTCAGGCAAGGGGAGCTAAGGGTTGAGCCAGATGCCACTGGAACATAGGACAGAGTCCAGGTCTGTGATCTTGAGCTTCAGTCAGCCCTGAGTACCATGATTTAAGACTGGAAACCGAGAATCTACAGCTCTTTAGATAGTTCTCAGTCATGACGTGGAGTTTGTCTAATCAGAAATGAGAGTGGCCACTGCTGGCAGCAAATGTAAGTGTGGCCTTGAGAGCAGAAAGCTTGCTGTATGTGGACAGTAGCCTCAGTTGCCCTTTCCTGGCTGAATCTGCTTTTCCTCTAGGATATTCTGGGGGTTACTTGGCCGGGTGGTCTCACCACTCAAGAGCTCCAGGTGCTTAGGAGTTGAGAGGGATGGAGCACTGCTGAGACTTGACCTGTTCCCTTTTCTTTGTCCTATTTCCATTCCCTGT